CCAGAGGGCTCTGTACTCCACTTCAACAGGGAGGTGGCACGACTTTCCGTACAACAACTGAAATGGTGTCCTCCCAATAGGTGTCTTGTAAGCTGTCCTATACGCCCAAAGTGAGTCGTCGAGCTTGATCGCCCAGTCTCTTGTTGAACTGTTTACAACTTTGTGCAAAATCGCCTTGATCTGTTTGTTAGAGACCTCGACTTTTCCAGATGTCTGGGGGTGATAGGGTGTTGCAACCTTATGCTTTACTCCATACTTCTTTAGAAGCGCTGAAAAGATCTTGTTGATGAAGTGGCTCCCCCCATTGCTAATCACAACTCTCGGGATTCCATATCTAGGAAAGATAATGGATTTGAACAGCTTGAGCACTGGTTTGTGATCGTTGGCGGGGCATGCAATCGCTTCAACCCATTTAGATACGTAATCCACCGCCACCAGAATGTTCCGGTTCCGGTGAGATGACGGGTCGAATGGTCCCATGAAATCGATCCCCCAGACGTCGAAGACCTCGATCTCTAAAATTGGGTTCTGTGGCATCTCGTTTCTCCTAGATATATTGCCCATTCTCTGACAAGGATCGCACTTGGAGATGACGCTGTGTGCATCCTTGAATAGATTCTGCCACCAGAGCCCAGATTCGAGAATCTTCTGCGCTGTTTTAAACACAGCATAGTGACCACCGTAGGTAGATATGTGGCAGTGCTCTAGAACTCCGCTGACTTCCTCCTCTGCAATGCATTTCCTGAACAAACCATCGGATCATCTCTTGTACAGATACGGCTCATCCCAGAAATACTGTGAAGCGTCTCTGAGTAGCTTCTTCTTCTTGTAAGCGTCCAGATCCTTTGGAATTTGCTTATGCACCAAATAGTTCACTATGTCGGCGTACCAAGGATATTTCTCGTCGCTCAGTGAATAGACTCGATCGAGCTCAACCTTGGTAGAGTCGACTGCTTCGAGAACTTTGATCGATATCAACTGTTCTTCAGGCATCGAGTCGTCTATCGGCACTAGATCCTCTACTCTCATCCTGCTCAGATGATCCGCAACACCGTTTTCAACTCCTTTCTTGTCTTTGATCTCGAGATCGAACTTCTGTAACAACAACATCCAACGCAACAACCTCGGTTTAGCATCCTTCTTCGCCATCAGATATCTCAAAGCAGCGTGATTTGTATGCATGATCACTTTAGATACAACCAAGTAGCTCCTGAATTTCTCAAACGCGAACACTACAGCAAGGAGCTCTTTTTCTGTTGTTGCATATCAGCTCTGCGCATCATCCAAGGTCCTTCTAGCGTAGTAGATCATATGATGCTTCTTGTCAATTTTCTGTTCCAACACAGCTCCAACAGCATAGTCAGATGCGTCGCACATGATCTCAAACGGATGATCCCAATCAGGAGCTTGAACGACCGGTGCAGAAACGAGGGCTTCCTTGATGAGCTCGAACGCTTCCAAACAGTCAGCGTCGAAAACGAACTCTGTCTCCTTACACAGCAATTTGGTCAAAGGTCGCGCAATTTTTGAGAAGTCTTTGATAAACCTTCTGTAAAATCCAGCGTGATCCAGGAAGCTTCTGATCTCCTTGACCGTCTTAGGCGGCTGCAGTTGCATCATGACCTTGATCTTGGCTTTGTCGACCTCGATCCCGTTCGCAGAAATCTTGTGACCCAACACTATCCCTTCTGTGAGCATGAAGTGACACTTCTCCCAGTTCAGCACCAGATTGGTCTCTTCGCGCCTAGATAGCACCATGCACAAGTTCAGCTAACATAAGGAGAAGGAGGAGCCATAGACTGAGAAATCGTCCATGAAGACTTCCACCATCTCCTCGATCAGATCCGAAAAAATGGAGGTCATACACATCTGAAAAGTAGCAGGTGCATTGCAAAGACCAAAAGGCATCCTCTTATATGCAAATGTTCCATAAGGACAAGTGAAGGTGGATTTTTCTTGATCATTAAGATGAATTGGAATTTGAAAGAACCCAGAATAACCATCAAGAAAACAGTAGTAGGGATGATTAGCTAATCTTTCAAGCATTTGATCAGTGAATGGCAATGGGAAGTGATCTTTCCTAGATGCAGAATTCAATTTCCTGTAATCTATGCACATCCTATGTCCTGTTATAGTTCGAGTTGGTATTAATTCATCCTTCTCGATTTTAATCACAGTGATGCCACCTTTTTTAGGAACACAATGCACTAGTGAAACCCAAGTACTATCAAACATAGGATAGATCACACAAGCGTCAAGCAGTTTAAGAATCTCCTTTTTAACTACTTCTTTCAAGTTGGGATTCAATCTCCTATGTGGTTCGATGCTACAATGTGATTCGTTTTCGAGGTGAATCCTATGTGTGCACAAAGTAGGTGAAAGTCCCTTAATGTCATCAAGCGAATAACCTATAGCTCTCCTAAACTTCCTCAATTCAATCAAGAGTGAATCTAACTCATCAGCACTAAGGGAATCATTGACAATCACAGGATAAGTCGAATGAGAGCCTAGAAATGCGTACCTTAGCCCTTTCAATCGAGCTCTGTGTCGGAGGGGTCGAGCTCTGTTTCTGAGAAGTGCAGATCGATTGGGATGGTTGAGCGCGAACTAGATCTGTCGTTCCTGCAGCCATGATTTCTGCACTCGATCCAACCATATCCTCGAACACATCTGCGCCCTTCACTGCTTTGTGAGAGTCCAGCAACTTCTCATAGCAGCCAGTTTCTTTGTGAAGCTACCCATCTTCACTCTTCTTAGTCAGAGCAGTCTGCAGGTGATCTTCCACAACCAATTCCTCTAACAACTCGTCAGCTAGCTTATCCATCATCTCAATGTAGAAAACCTGCCCGTCGATCGTCGGCTTTCTTATCAAGTCCTTAATATCGAACCTCATACTTAGATCGTCTCCCAAATTCAGATCGATCATGCCCTTCCTCATATCCATGACTGCTCCAGCTGTAGCTAAGAAAGTTCTTCCCAAGATGAGAGGATCCTTCGGCTCTTCGTCCATCTCTAAAACTACAAAGTCTGTTGGAACATCAACGTTACCAATTCGAACAGGTAGATCCTCTAGAATGTCGTGGGAAATCCTAACGCTTATGTCTGCCAGGGCAAGAGAGATCTGGCAAACTTTGTACCTGGTAAACCCCAGCTTCTTCGCAACTGAAAGAGGCATCAAACTGATCGAAACTCCTAAATCGCACAGATTGTTCTTGAAAGATAGAGGACCGATCGAGCAAGGTAGCATGAACGATCTTGGGTCTTCCAACTTCTTTGGGATCGATTTCCTCTGAATTATAGCGCTGCATTTGTGACTTAGAACCACCATTCCCTGTACTTCCTTCGTTCTTTCCAGAATCAAATCCTTGAGAAATTTCTGATATGGTGGGATTAGCATGAAGGCGTCCAGCAACGGCATCTTCACCTCGATTTCGGCCATCTGTTTATCAAACAAGGCCTTATACTGTTTAGTCAACTGCTTCTTGAATCTACCTGGAAAAGGCATCGGCGGTTTATAAGGAGGAGGAACAAAGGCAGTCTCCTTCTCTTTAGAAACAGGTGGTTTTTCAGCTTGCGTAGGTTGAGCGGTCTCGCTTGCAGGAACTCGATCGAGCTCCCCTACTAGTGGGGTGTGTTCGTCTGAAACTTCGTCTTCAACGGAAACCTCATCTGAACCCAACTCCTCCCCTCCTTGAGCATTTTTGACCTCAGTGATTATAGAACGGCCTTGCGGGTCGGGTAGCGCCTTCCCACTTCTCAATGTAATAGCGCTGGTCGAGTGCGTATACTCCTTCGGGTTTTGAACAGATTTGACAGGGAGCTGTCCGGTAAGTTTGGCTGTGGAGGTGAAAGCTCGATTGCTTTCGATGAATTGGACCCTAGAGTTCAATGCTTCGAGCTTGGAGTTGAGATCATTGTAGGTGCCGTCGAGCTTGTGGTGAATCTCTGCAAACTTTTTACTGACGTCCATTACTCCATTAGCTTGGCCTTGCAGAATTTGCTGAAGCATTATCTTCACGTCGATCTCAGGTGCTGCTGGACCAATCGATTGCGGCTGAGGTTGAAATCCTGGTGGTGCTCCAAATGTCTGCTTTTTGGGGAATTCTACTTGGAACTGCTGCCTTGGGACGAACATATTTTTCTGTGGGAAAGGAGCGAAGTTCTTGGCTGGTGCTTGCTACTGTTGAGGGTATACTTGATCCCAGGGGTTGGCCACGTTTGTGCTTCAGTAAGATAGATTGGGGTGTTGTTTGTATGGGACAAACCCCTTTGTGAAACCTCCTTGATTTTGGATGTAGCATAGCTCCTTAGTGGAGGGATTGATCTCCCCTTCTTGAATCAGATAGTCGCCCTCCTCAGTAACGAAGTGAACTGGTTTCTGCTGAACCACTAAAAGCTTATTGAGCTTCTCGTTTAGGGCCTTGATCTCCTTGCGGTGCTTCTCATCGGATTCGATCCAACCCCTCTGAGTATGGTCGTAATCTTTATTATAGGTCCCGCATGATTGTGCCAGATCCTCAACTAGTTCCCAACCTTCCTGAACATCCTTGTTGAGGAAGTTGCCATTGCTCGATGTATCAAGCATCTGTTTGATTCTGGGTGGCACAGCTCTGTAGAGAGTGCTGAGAAGCGACTCCATGCTGAATCCGTGGTGAGGGCACTGATTAGTGTAGTTCTTGAAGCGCTCCCAAGCTTCAGAGAACGTTTCTCCATTCTTTTGAACGATTCCAGAGATTTCGTTCCTAAGCCTTGCAGTTCTGGAGGGAGAGAAGAACTTGGCGAGGAAGGCTTTCTTACAGTCGTTCCAAGAAGTGATGGATCCCTGAGGCAGATTTTTCTCCCATTGATGAGCTTTGTCCCCTAGAGAGATTGGGAACAAACGCAGCTTGAAACCGTCTTTAGTGACTCTATTGATTTTGGTGAGGACACAAAGTCGATCGAACTCATCCAGATGGTCGAGTGGGTTTTCCATAGGGAGTCCATGAAACTTGTTGTTTTGAATCATGGAGATGAGATCGGGCTTGATCTCAAAGTTGTTGTTCGCCACAGCTGGAGGAACGATCCCCTGTCTCTGAACGTGTGTGTTCGGTGCATCACCGGCTCCAATGCATCGTGCTACTCTCTGGACTGGTGCAGCTGCCGGGTTATTTTTCTGCAGATCTTCACCTGGTGGTGCTCGATTCTGCGTATTCAGATTCTGCGGGTTCTGATCGTGTTGATCCATGTCAACTCGATTCAGCTTATTTCCGGTTTTTCTTCTCCTTTGTAGCTTGTTGATGTTCGAGTTGAGCAGGATCAAATTCTTATCCTTACACGATCGAGTAGTGTGCATGCAAGGTCAGAATGGATCTAGTGTACATGAGACAATCAAAAACAAGCAGGAGAAAAGGATAATACGTAATGACAAATATAAATTAAACGAACTTGATCTCAAGTTTCCTGAGATCCTGAATATAACAATCAAACACCCAAATGGCAATGGCACCAAATTGATACTAAGATTTTACTATCAATTATCCTAAAGCAGTGTATCTATCGCAGTAGTACTTTAGGTATCAATCCAATCAGGTGAGATGCTAGCAATCAAGATATGACAGAACTACTCAATTCAAGCCAAATCTATCAGGTGGTGGTGACAGTGAATAAAAGAGATCGAGTGCAATAAGAATGCAATCGAGCTGAAGCAATAAAATGACGGAAATGAATATCAGAGAAAGATCAAGCTCCTAAGGATGGGGTAATCGACTGTAACTACTCCTAACGTGATCTCGTCGCTTAACAAACCTCAAACACGGGCTAATCCCTCAACAACGAACTCGACAGACAAGATCAATTCGCTTTCACGAAAGAGATCAACAAACTAGTGAATTCTCAAGACCTAATCATCATTAGCGAAGAAAACACAAGCAAGCATTAAGTTCGGATTCGATAGAGTCGAAATACTCTCTAGACATCTAATCCCTTAGGCTAGAACAGTAAATCTCTGGATCAGCTGGTTCAGACATCTCATCGAACGCCTCATGAGCGTGGAGATGTCTAAGATCCAGATCCAGGTTGATCAGAAAGAATCTGGGATGAAGCTCACTAATCCAGAAGGGATCGATTGACAAACAATACTTAAGCAACTCGATCACGCTAGGGTTCGCTACAGATCTATCCCATCCTCAGAAACTTAAACGAAACTACTCGCTAGAACTCATCATACACATTTCAGAATCAAAAGAGATAGAGTGCATAATCAAAGCGACAAAGAGATAGAATCGAGAAACGCAAAAGTACTTAGAACTCAAAAACAAATCTGAATAATACAACTCTGTTCGAATGTAAAAATGAAAGATGAAAGATAAGATAATGGAGGCTGCACCTCTCCCTCTGGTTTTGATACTCGAAAACCTAGTGTTTTAGAAAAATCGGGAAATAAAATAAAAAGGGAAAAGTTGGCCGAAACAAGCACTGGGTCGGATCCCTTAATGGGCTGGATCGATCCCGTCAGAACGTGGGCCCTCTCGCTTGACTTTGACTCCGTCTCTCAGGTTTGACGTCGGCGCTACGGCGTTCATACTTCAGTCCAGCGTGACCTCATCGAGCTCGATCACAGCACTCGACCTCGTCCAATTCGATCACTTGATGTTTGATAGCGTCAACGCGACCACGTGTGCTCTGTCACTCCAGCTCCGTCACTCCAGGAAACACCTAAAACTGACACAAATGTACAAGATGCAACAATGCTAGTCCTAAATGCACTAAATGCGGAATATGAGTGAGATGAGTGAAAACAATGCAAATGAACGGTTATGGATGCAAAAACATATACAATCGAGTGCTAAAAACATGCAAAGTATGAACACATCAATGAACGAAATTGTTCCATCACAATCATTTTTCTTTCAGGTAAGATAGTACTTTGTGCTTCCTAATTAGGTCAGACATCCATAAGAATCAAGCGGAATAGCACATTCAGAAAAAAGATATATAAAAGCAAAATCAGAGAGACAGAGAGACCAGGAAAGCCAAAGTAAGATCTAGCAATCACAAACATGGGTAGCGAGAAGCGTGAAACTAAACCAAGCTGAAGTAATGACTTATTTCAGAAAGAATAATCAACCTAAATCGAGTTAGGATTCCTCAATTTCTTAACAGTAATCGGATGCAAACATAATCAAATCTCCTGAAAAAGAATCAACAATCCGCGGGTGAGAAATTGAGGGAAAGGCAGGATCAGATCAGTACCTGGCCGATGTGAATAGCGGATCAGCGGTGCGAGCGCAAGTAGGTCTTTAGGATGGGGCTTGGAGAGCCGATTGCAGATCTGCGGGTTACAGATGGATCTTAAAAAATCAATCCCATAGTATAATCGAGCAAGGAATTGTTGGTGAAGCTCCAACAAGCTCTCCTCTCACAGCGGAAGCGCTAGCAATACGAGAAGCTCTCATCCAAGCACGCACCAGAGACCGGACAAACCTTTGGGTGAAATCGGATTCCCAAACGCTCATTAGTGCTATCCAAGGTTGAGACTAGATTGTTGAAATATATGGAATCTTCCAAGTTATCCATCAATTAGCATCTGGTTTTTGTCCCGATCTCATTCTGTTACATATCAAGGACTTCCAATTCGTTGGCTGATTCATTCGCAAAAAACGCACTATCTTTGTTTTGAGGCTTTTATTTTGAATGAAAGGATGTTCAAAAAAAAAAAAAAAAAATAGGCATTTTCTGATTTATTTATCCATACACATACATAAGCAACAAGAATCTCAACTTAACAAAAGAATATTTAACTGTAAAAAAAAAAGAGATTCATTGCACAACATCATCATAAGACAAGCTTTCTCTACGGCTGTGAATCCGAGAAGAAACAGAACTTTGGTTGTAGGCTTTAACAAGAGGAATAAGCGAGTGAACAACATCAGTCATCAGTGGTCTGTAATCTGGTTCTGGTTGCACACACATTGCCGCTATGGCTGCTACCTGAGAAAAAGTGTCAAAGTGTCTAATGTAAAAATACATACAAATAAAAATATAATGTAAAAATTATATTAAAAAATGATGTAATATAAAAATACAGGCAACACACATATATACAAATAAAAGTAAATGTCAAAATCTGATTATATATAAACATTTAATTATTAATTAATATATATATTTGTCAAACATGTTTTTGCGCCTGGTCAAAATTAGTAGTGTGCCAAAAATATGATCTGCCAGTAGTAATGTGCATGTCCTATGATTCAATTGAGTTGCAACATTGAGTCTACCCGATTATAGAAATCTCTTGATAAAAAAAAAAATACATTAGTCGTCATATGGGAATGTTTATATGATTAGTAAAAAGATTATTTCTTTTTCCCCAAAATTCCCTATATTCTTTGTCCTAAGTTGTACAAAGAAAAAAACCCGTAGACCACAATGCAAAATAAAAAAACAAAGTGATGAAGTAATACCTGAATAAGATCCTTCAGTGAATATTGGCCCTCAATGGTTGGATCCACCATTTCACTAACTTTCTCTCTGTTGGTTAGCCTTGGAAGAGCCTGGAATTATATGCCACAGTTCACTATTAATCTACTTTGGACTTTTTATATACCTTATTTTCGTAGAAGTCTATAAGAATATCAAATTCTTAATTTTCTATCCAGGAATGAATTACGATTTACTTACCCAAGAAACTAGGACATCTTGTCCCGAGGGACGCCTTGAGTCGATTGGTTTATGACCCGTTAATAGTTGCAATAAAACTATTCCATAACTGTAAACATCTGATTTTGTGGTAAGCTTTCCGGTAGAAGCGTACCTATCTCAACCAAATAAAAAATTATATGGTTATATATGACCTTTTAAGAGAATTTGAAATAATCATAATCTCTTAAGTTTATAATTGACTTTTTAAGAGCATTCAATTTGTAGTCCATATTTAGGTGACATATGTATGATATTTTGGCTAATGGACCATCCCTATAAGTTGATTTGTTTTCTTATCATTTTAACAATGAATTTCTTGTAAAATTATGACAACAATGCGACAAGAATGAAGTGTTACTTACTCTGGGGCAAGATATCCAGTGGTCCCAAGCACCCTTGTTGAAACCTGACCGTTTAGTTTATCAGAACCAGTCTTTGCCAATCCAAAATCTGAAACTTTAGCTCGATTATCTTGATCCAATAAAATGTTGGTACACTTGAAGTCACGGTGGATCACAGCGGTGACTGCATTCTCGTGGAGAAACTCTAGTGCTCGAGCGCAATCGAGGGCGATCCTAAGCCGGGTTCCCCAATCCAATGGTTGAGATTCATCCTTCACATTCTTACAATTATGACCGTGAAGATGTTGTTCGAGTGTACCGTTGGGCATATATTCAAATATCAGGATCCTATGGTTTTGATCTGCACAATATCCAACTAACTCGACCACATATGGGCATTGTAATCGACTAAGAAGATCAACCTGCACAATTAGAGATTATGAGCCTATTGTTTACTATAACTAACATTTATTAAGTATATTACATTAAAAAACATATACATTAAAGACATACTTTTTGTTTAGTGTTGAAATACACATAAAAACTCCAAATAAAGATGCTCTTAGGACTGGACTTCCTTTTGGGTTCTGGGTTGGGGACCAAATACATTTGTTTGCTTAATGTATGCCAAATGCACATCCATAAAAATGATTGAAGAAACTGGCTTTATGTACATTCTTTTACTCTATTGTAACTGTAGACTACATATTCTTAATATGTATGAATCCAAATACTATAAATCGTTATTAAAAATACGAGTTGAGTGTATTTAACTATAGAGGTATGCGTGATATGGTGACTCGTGAACCACCTACTTGGTGTAAAGAAAAATGTCAAAGTCTCACAGCTTTAAAATGGCTCACTCTCAACTGTTATTTATTAAAACTATTAATATAGATAACTATGCATTTGTTTTTAGATTTACACACACATATATATATACATATATATTTTTGTTAAAGGGTTTAGATATTTTCTAATTTTGTTACTATATTTGTCTCAAAATATGTAGAATATTGAATAAAATATATAGATATTATAACGTATTTGTTGATAAACATGGAGACAATAAATAAGCACAAAAAGTAGATAAGAAAGGATAACAATAAATGAAGTGAGAACAACTAACCTCAAGCCTAAAAGAGCGATCTTCATGCTTTTGGTTACTACCATTATGATTAAGCATATGAAGCTTTTTAATGGCCGCAACAGTTCCATCATTCAATACTCCTTTGTACACATCTCCATATTCACCGCCTCCTATCTTCCTGTCTTCACTAAAATTATTTGTTGCAATCTCTAATTCCTTGTATGTGTAGACTTCTACTCCTTCAGCTCGGCTTCTTCTGCAACTCTTTGTTTGTTGGGGCAATTGTCTAAACGATGTTGGTTTTCTTGAGTATAGACAATCTCTCTTGATGTCATCTAACAAGAAAATCATAATTCAAATAAAAGATTGGTTTTTGGGATGAGCATTTAAGGAATGGATGGACTTAAATGACAAGAAAATGTGTATGGAGCGTAGGTGTCTTACCAGGGCTAGAAGTGTAACTGTAGCTGGTGGAAGGACCACCATTGTTGATGATGCTGCAGCTTTCTTTGCAATCTACGTGCTTTGCTTTGTCTCTTGCGGATTTAAGTCGATGAAGTAAAAGGATTATCAGAAGAATAGCAAAGATTATGAAGATGGAGATGATGGAGATGACAATGATGATCACGGCATTTATTGAAATTAGACCATTCTGGTGCTGCTCTTGGCTGCTTGGAGTTTTATGATCAAAGGATGATGATGGATGATGGTGGTGGTTACTATGACTTTCATTTTTCGTTTTTACAATTAGAGTTGTGTCCATTTTGCGAGAAAGGAGGGGAGGGAGAGAGGACAGTGTAGGTTTGGAAAGGAATTGAAGTATATTGACTTTGGCCACCCGGGCTGCCTTAAATGGTAAGAATACGCGGATTGCCGTGGGCCTCGTGGGATTAGTCTTTGAGCCTAGAAAGCCTTTAGGATCCCCACGGTTAAAAAAAAAAAAAAAATTGAAGTATATACACATATATGCAAGAATGTTAAGTGTGGAGTTTTAGTTAACCGGATGGCGACATATTTTAACCATTGACAAGGTTGTGTGACAAGTTTTAATGTAGCATATGTCTACGTTTTGCATTTTTAAAGATCATTAATGCATTCTAAAAAATTCTTATGAATATGGTAAACAAAAAATAATGCTTAGCTAAGACCAGATATCAATTCTCCTAAGAGCATCTCCAACTCAGCCCCATATTTCACATTTATTGTCATTTTGGAGTCAATTTTGCTCCAACCCAATCCATTTTCAATCTCAAAATGGCAAAATGCCATATTTTTTCCCAAATTGAGGTTGATCCCATTTTCATCTCCATTTTGGAGTTGAAGTTTTTAAATTATATAACAGTCCTTGAAGTTTTAAATTATTTTAGTTTATATATAATTAATTATTTTGATGTTTATTTTTACTCTAAAATACAAATAACACATATTTAATAGAAAATTAATTATTTAAGGTAATAATAAATTTAAATAGAAAGGAAATTTTGTTTATTAGAAATAACATCAAAAATAAATTTATTAAAACAACTATTATTGATCAAGTTTGTGTTGTTATTTTTAGTCTTGTAATAATGTATTATTAATATTTTCATAATTAATTTAAATAATTATAATAAATTGTGAAAGTTTTTGAAGAAAAAAATTATGGGGCAATTTGTAATATATATAAATATACAATGTAAATTTAGTAATTAATAAAAAGTTTTGAAGTAAAAAATGAGGCAATACATTGGAGCAAAACCAACTCCATTTTGAGATTTCTTCATTTTGGAGTCAAATATGGAGCAATACATTGGAGATGCCCTAAGCATGACATTATCTAACCATGTCAAATATGTTTGATTTTTCATATATCACCATGACATTATCTAGCCGAAGGGTTGCAAAAGCACTTAATTCCGGAATTTCATGCTTCATCTCGTAATTATCAATTCTCCTAAGCATAAGCAGACGATTAGTGAAAAAATACATGTAAAAAACTGACGTCAAAATGGGTCAAAAGCAACATTTTCAATGAATCATGTAAACAATCTGCGTGGTGATATATTACAAGACCTATTAAACTTGAGATCCACATATATATGAAGAATATTTGAATGTAATAAAATAGTTTTCAGTGTTGAACCTAGATTAAGACTTAATCTCTTCTTAAAAAGACACATTTCTGATGAGTTTTTTTTAACAATTATGCATTTGAATGCGTTTAAGTCAAGATAGTTTTAATCTGATAATTTACGAGTGAAAAAACAAACAAACAAACATATTGAGATCAATCGACGAATACTAGGCATTTTTAGAATAACAAGGGTAAAGTAAAGCTGAATGATCTGCAATTTGTTTTATAATGTGCAGCGGAATCATTCTAGTGCGTAATGAAAATGAC